AAACAAACAAACAAAACAAAAGCAAAACTTTGACCTTACTACACTTTTCTTAGCCTATTCTGTTTGTCAAGCTCTGAAAAATGGAATCTACAAAAAATTCAATAAAGTTTTGATTAATTAGGGTATTGGCCTGGCTTTGTGTGCATGAGCATGCATATTATGTGAAGAACATGAAAGAATAATGTCTTTAAAATAACCTTTCTTGGTTGTAGTAATCACAAAACTTTCTTTTTGTCTCTAAGTTCATACTAGTACTAACAAATAGTGCTAATATAATAAAAGACAAGTGTAATGAGAATTAGCATGTTGCATTAGTGGATAGGCATGTGGGCCCCAGAGAAAGAGAGCACAGCAGGGGGAGCGGCAGGCAGAGGGAGAGGGAAAAGCAGGCTCCCCGCTGATCAAGAAGCCTGATGTGGGACTCGATCCCAGGACCCTGGGATCATGACCTGAGCCGAAGGCAGACGCTTAACCGACTGAGCCACCCAGGCGCCCACTTTTCTCATTTACAAATGGAGATGATTCACTAATAGTATCTATCTCACAGTGGTGTGAATTTAATAAATGATACATGCAAAGGGCTTAAAATAGTGCCTGGCACATAGTGACATCCAATAATTACTAGTCGTCATTATTAGAACATATAGCTTCTTCGATCAGTGGAAAGAGCATCAGCTTTGGGGTAGGCTCGTAGGCGTGTCCCTCAGCTGCACCACTATGAGTGAGCTGCACGGTTCACCAAACTTCTCTGAACTCACTCTCTGTCTCTATGAAATGGGTGTAATCGTACCACATTGAAAGTACTGGGCAAGCTTCGTGACATAATGGGCGTAAATGGCATGGTGCTAACACATAGTATGTGGTCAGTAAATAGCGAATTCTCACAACAGATTCTCTGGGACTTCAGGCAACCTGATTTTTCTGCTAGGGAGTCTCCTTGTATATGAAGTTGGAATGCCAGTACCTTCTGAAGACTCTCATAATGAGGACTCATTTTGCTTATGATCATCTGTTCCCTGAGTCAGCAAACCACCACCTGAGGGCCAATTCCTGCCAGGGTACAAGTCTTTGTATTTCCGTCCAGGGTACAAGTTTTTGTATAGACTAAGAAACAAGAATGGTTTTACATTTTTAAGTGGCTAGGGGAAAAAATAGAATATTTTGTGACTCATGAAAATAATACGAAATTCAAATTTCAGCGTCCACAAATAACATTTTGTCTGAACCCACTGTCATGGTCATTTATTTCTGTGTTATCTATGGCTGTTTTTGCATGTCAGTGGCAGATGTGAGTACTTGTGGCCGAAATCACAAAGCCTGCAAAGCCTGGAAAATTTATTATCTGGTATTTTACAAAAAAAGCTTGCTGACCCCTGATCTATTCTAACCTTCTCTTATATGTACAGGATAGAGAAATTAGAGACTTTATTTATTTATTTGGTTAGTTAGTTATTACACTGTCTTGTAGGAACTTTTGTTATAATCAAAGAATGGCTGGAACTTTAAATTATCAACTAACTAGCAGTTTTAGAACTAGTTTTTTATTTAGGTGACCTGTCTAGCATTCACTACTTGTTTCATTTCCCCATTGCTCCATTTTGAAAGCAACAAACAGCCTGACTGTTCCCAGCCCACCTCTTCCTTATCACTGACCGGTCTCCACACCCTTTGCCCCTCCGTTCTTCCCCACAGTCCACCTCTACAGTCCCATCCCACCAAAGTTTAAGTGAAGCTGAGCAACAATCACAGATGGTTTTAGTTCTCCTTTGCTTTGGACACGTT